TGTTTCAGTTCGGTGACTGATTCTAAATCTTTAACAAAGTTTGTAACTTTCTTGTACCGATAGCTGGTCTGGGATTTGCATGCCCAAGAATTAAACTTGGATAATGAATATTTTTTGTAAATTACATGATGAATATTGTTGCTCAAATATCGTAAAACCTTAAAAATGTCCACTTTCCTTCATTTATGATCTGATATATTTTCTCAAAGGAGAAACTGACGTATTTAGCAGAACACTGGTTTACAGATCAAGTGTAAAAAATAAACAATAAAGGGAAAAATAAGTGGAGAAGTAAAAAAAAATAATTTTTATTACTTATTTATTATAAAAAAAACATTTCACTGTTCCTCATTTTTTAACCTCTGTTGATCACTTCTTATTTAGTGGCTTTCCCCTAACCATCAATTATCTTTTTTTTGGCACTACAGACAGAACTACGAATCATGAAACAAACAGAACAGTTTCATCCATTATTCTCATCATTTGTTTTGTCCATACAATATTTCCGAGTTTGGGATTGTAGACGAATCTCCCAAATTTTCGATGTATGGGAATTTGTTTTAAACCGAATGCACAAGTCTAGAAAATACCAATATTTAATGGCATAATCTTAATACCTACGTAATAAAATACGATTAAAAAGTGATTTATTATTTCAAAGTGACAAATACAGCATAAAATGCAGCAACGCAATAGATCAGTAGAAAATATATATCCATATACCTTCAATACATTTTCTTTTATTGACAACTTTTCTAAAAAATGTGCAACGACTGCTTCTGCAAAAAAGGCCCTTAGACCTCTACTTCAGATCTCCCATGAATGCCTCCAGTCAGGGCCGCCATCAGGGCATGACAACCATAATGGTTGTCATGGGCCCTGCGGCCTTGGGGGGCCCGGACTGCTCAGGTCGTCCCGGGCCCCACATTAGCTATGTGCACACATATCATAGGCGTGCGCACGGGGTGTGCCGGGTGTGCCTGGGCACACCCTAATCCCCGTGGCACGCCTATGCATATTGAGACCGGCAGGGGAGATCTCAGGATCTCCCTGGTCGTCTCATGCAGCGCCGGCGCTATCCGAGCGCCGGCTCTGCTCTCAACCTCCCTCCCCACTGACCCACATGCAGGGAGGGAGGCAGGAGAGGACCCGGCGGAGCTATTGCCGGCAGCTCCGCCGGGTTCCTCTCGCGAGATATGAGCGTTGCCACGGCAACGCTCAAATCTCGCGAGAGTGAACTCTAGCCCCACAGGGGTTAGAGTTCACTCTCCACTGGACCACCAGGGATCACAGCAGCAAGGATCCCCTCCTCCACTGGACCACCAGGGAAGGAAGCAGCAGCACGATCCCCCCTCCCTACAAAGGTAAGAAGGGAGGGGGGATAGCAAATAATGTACCCCCACCTCCACCCCCCACAATCACCCACCCACACACATACAACACACATACAGCACCCACACACATTCAGCATCCACAGACATACACAGCACCCACACACATACACAGCACCCACACACATTCAGCACCCACAGACATACACAGCACCCACACACATACACAGCACCCACACACATTCAGCACCCACAGACATACACAGCACCCACACACATACACAGCACCCACACACCTTCAGCACCCACAGACATACACAGCACCCACACACATTCAGCACCCACAGACATACACAGCACCCACACACCTTCAGCACCCACACACCTTCAGCACCCACACACCTTCAGCACCCACACACCTTCAGCACCCACAGACATACAGCACCCACAGACATCCAGCACCCACAGACATCCAGCACCCACAGACATCCAGCACCCACAGACATACACAGCACCCACAGACACACAGAACCCACAGACATACACAAACCCACAGACACAGCACACAGACACACACAGCACCCACAGACATACACAGCACCCACACACATACAGCACCCACAGACATACACAGCACCGACACACATCCAGCACCCACATACATTCAGCACCCACAGACATACAGCACCCACAGACATACACAGCACCCACACACATACAGCACCCATACACAGCACCCACAGACATACAGCACCCACAGACATACACAGTACCCACACCCATACAGCACCAACACACATACAGCACCACAAACAGCATACAGCACACACACACACAGCACACACACATACAGCACCCACACACATTCAGCATCCACAGACATACACAGCACCCACACACATTCAGCACCCACACACATACAGCATACACAGCACCCACACACATTCAGCACCCACAGACATACAGCACCCACAGACATACACCACCCACACACATACACAGACATACAGCACCCACAGACATACAGACATACACAGAACCCACAGACATACACAGACATACAGACATCCAGCACCCACAGACATACAGCACACCCACACACACACAGCACCCACAGACATACACAGAACCCACACACATCCAGCACCCACAGACATACACAGCACCCACAGACATACACAGCACCCACACACATACACAGCACCCACAGACATACACAGCACACACACAGCACACCACACAACATACACAGCACACAACAGACATACACAGCACCCACACACATACAGCACCCACAGACACACACAGCACTCACAGACATACACAGCACCCACACACATACAGCACCCACAGACATACACAGCACCAACACACATACAGCACCCACACACACATACAGCACCCCCACAAACACACACAGCACCCTCACACACAGCACACAAACAGCACCCTCACACACACACAGCACACTAACAGTACCCTCACAAACACAAACAGGACCCTAACAAACACAAACACAGCACACTACCAGTACCCTCACACACAAACAGCACCCTCACACACAGTACATTAACAGCACCCTCACAAGCGCACACACACACACAAACAGCACCCTCACACACAGTACATTAACAGCATCCCCACAAGCACGCACACACAAACACCCTCACCCACATAGCACACTACCAGCATCGTCACACACACATCACACTAACAGCACCCTCACACAGCACACACACACACACACACACACACAGCAGTGTGTGTATGTGTGTTGTGTATATATGTGTATGTATATATATATATATATATATACACATATATATATATATATATACATACATACATATATATATGCGGCATGTGCTTGTGCTTTAGGGTGCACACCCTAATGCAATAGGCTGCGCACGCCTATGACACATATATAGTGATTAATGCTATATTTGTGTGCTCTGCGGGCCCCCCGCTACCTGTATTCTGCAGGGGGCCCAGCACACTTGAAATATACTGCCCAGCTACTCTGCTCTGTTGAAGTCTCGCCAGCAACGCGATCGTCAGAGTGTTGCCATGGCAACGCTCCGCACGGCTCGCGAGACTTCTACAGAGCAGAGTTGCTGGGCAGTATATTTCAACTGTGCTGGGCCCCCTGCAGAATACAGGTAGCGGGGGCTGCACCATGTCTCAGGACCTCCAGGCTCCAGGGCTCCAACCAATGTGATCTCCCCCCTCCATGGCCACAGGTAAGATACAGGAAGGGGGGAATAAAACATTACTATTAATGGATGGAAAAAAAACCTGTAGGCTTTTCCCCCCACATTTTGCAGCCCCATACATTTACACACACTATACACCAACATTTACATACACTATTCACTAACATATACACACACTATACACTAACATTTACACACACTATTCACTAACATATACACACACTATACACTAACATTTACACACACTATACACTAACATTTACACACACTATTCACTAACATTTACACACACTATTCACTAACATATACACACACTATTCACTAACATTTACATACACTATTCACTAACATTTACACACACTATACACTAACATTTACACACACTATTCACTAACATTTACACACACTATACACTAACATTTACACACACTATACACTAACATATACACACACTATACACTAACATTTACACACACTATACACTAACATTTACACACACTATTCACTAACATTTACACACACTATTCACTAACATATACACACACTATTCACTAACATTTACATACACTATTCACTAACATTTACACACACTATACACTAACATTTACACACACTATTCACTAACATTTACATACACTATACACTAACATTTACACACACTATTCACTAACATTTACACACACTATACACTAACATTTACACACACTATTCACTAACATTTATACAAACTATACACTAACATATACACACACACTATTCACTAAAAGTTACACACACTACATCCACTACACAAACACACACTCTGCAGTCACTACACACACTACATCCTTCCACAAACACACACTCTGCAGTACTTACACAAACACACACACTTTGCAGTCACTACACACACTACATCCACTACACAAACACACAGTCTGCAGTCACTATACACACATTAAATACTTACACAAACACACACTATGTAGTCACTATACACACACTACATCAACTACACAAATACACACTCTGCATCCATACACTGTATTCACTAAATACTACATCCACTACACACACTCTGCATTCACTACACACACACTACATCCACTACACAAACATACACTCTGCATTCACTATACACATCGCATTTAATACACACAAACACTACATCCACGACACAAACACACATACACACTCTGCATCTAATATACACCTCATACATTACACAAATGTACAATCTGCATCCACTATACACACTGCATCCGTTAAACACACCGCATCCACTTAACACATGAACTCTGCATCCACTACACAAATTCTACATCCACTATACACACACCAGAATCAGTACAGACACTGCATCCCTGTGGGTGAACTTGGGGGGGGGGGAGGGGGCAGCACTTTGGGCAGACTCCGGTGCTGGCACCCCAAAATTTATGATGGCAGCCCTGCCTCCATGAAAGAACTGAGTGGTCCCATGAATGCCTCCATGAAGGAACTGAGTGGTCCCATGAATGTCTGCATGAAGCAACTGAGTGGTCCCATGAATGTCGCCATGAAGGAACTGAGTGGTCCCACGAATGCCTCCATGAAGGAACTGAGTATTCCCATGAATGCCATCATGAAGGGATTGAGTGGTCACATGAATGCCTCCATGAAGGAACTGAGTGGTCCCATGAATGCCTCCATGAAGGAAATGAGTGGTCCCACGAATGCCTCCACGAAGGAACTGAGTGGTCCCATGAATGCCTCCATGAAGGAAATGAGTGGTCCCATGAATGCTTCCATGAAGGAACTGAGTGGTCCCATGAATGTCTCCATGAAGGAACTGAGTGGTCCCATGAATGCCTCCATGAAGGAACTGAGTGGTCCCATGAATGCCTCCATGAAGGAACTGAGTGGTCCCATGAATGCCTCCATGAAGGAAATGAGTGGTCCCATGAATGCCTCCATGAAGGAACTGAGTGGTCCCATGAATGCCTCCATGAAGGAACTGAGTGGTCCCATGAATGCCTCCATGAAGGAACTGAGTGGTCCCATGAATGCCTCCATGAAGGAACTGAGTGTTCCCATGAATGCCTCCATGAAGGAACCGAGTGGTCCCATGAATGCCTCCATGAAGGAACTGAGTGGTCCCATGAATGCCTCCATGAAAGAACTGAGTGGTCCCATGAATGCCTCCATGAAGGAACTGAGTGGTCCCATGAATGCCTCCATGAAGGAACTGAGTGGTCCCATGAATGCCTCCATGAAGGAACTGAGTGGTCCAATGAATGACTCCTTAAAGGAACTGAGTGGGCCCATAAATACCTCAATGAAGGAAATGAGTGGGCCCATGAATGCCTCCATGAAGGAACTGGTGGATGTACTCTTATTTCCGTGGTTGAGGGTATTTAGTTTGGGGTATAGAATACAGCTTAACATGTTCCTTCTCTTCCATTCAGACTTCCTCAGCAGTATATTTGTGCGGTTTCATTTTACCACTGATTTATGGCAGTTACATTTGATTGCATATTTTACACTGTGAATGATATATATATTTTTTTAAAACATTCTTTATCTTTTTTTTAAACATATATTAAAATGGTGCCATTGGATAATGGGATTTTATTTAATTACGTGTCTGTTAGTCCACCCATTGTACAGTGCTACAGAATTTGCAGGCGCTATATAAATAATTTATTATTAATAAATAATAATAATAATAATAATTTGTCTTAACACTTTTGTGAACTGCTAGCTTATTTGCTAAGCGTAATCGTACCAAGCTCTGTATTGTCATTTTTCTTTGCATTCAATAAATGTTTGTTGCTATCAAATTGGAAAGGATTTAAACATTGCCTATTCTTTATCCCAGGGGTGCCCAAAAGGTAGATCCCTAGAAGTTAGAGAACTACAACTCCCATGATGCTTTACATGCCTTTAGAAGGATTTTAGAATGACAATGCATCATGGAAGCTGTAGTTTTAATACATCTGGAGATCTACCTTTTGGGCACCTCTGCTTTATACTTTATGAAGCTTGCCTACACCTGCCCTAAGCTATAGCTGTAGGTCGATTATCATTTTAAACTGATGACTCTAATCTTGATTTTGTAATTGAATACTAAAATCACTACATTCATGTTTTTTGTATCATAAAAAAAGTTACATTTTAAACCTTATATTTTGCATATGGTAGTTTCTTTCCTTTTCTTTCATTGTAGTCCATTCAACAAATGCTATTCATCAGATTGAAATTAAGTAAACGAATGTAAAAATATCTATTTAAAAACATAAGAACCATATTAAATAATCTTGATATTATCCAAGAGGATTAGCCGGCCCTGTCAACGATAGCTTGCAGTGCATTGTGGGAACAGCGCCATCATACAGCACAGTATAGACTGATGGTAATAGATGAGATTCTAATGAAGTCGGAAAGCCACATCCATTGACATGAATCATTTATAGAACATTTTACAAGTGTCACAGCTTCTTGGAAATCTCACATTTTTTTTCCTCTCAGCATTCCGTACAGAGATTGATATTCAGTACAATACACAATTCACATATGCCGTGTACCTATTAAAGTCAATCACTGGTGCAGTCACTGGTAACTGTGCTGGTAGCTCTAGACACATGAAATAATAAAGGAACAGAATCAAGATTTCCCTATGATGCGGGAGTGTAATATTTTCTTAATGCAGTAATCTGATCAATAGAAATGGAATGACTGAGTTGGATAGATTGTTACCAGTACTTTGGAATTGTTACGATATATTACTTACTGATGTAGGGCAGGTTGAATGGCTACGTCTCTGGAATCGATAGACTCACAGCCTATCATTGCTGTAAAGACGGATGTAAAGGAAGTGAAATTCTAGATTATCTTGTTTTCGGCAGTGAGGGCTGTGAGTGTTTTTTGTTTGTTGTGATCGCGAAGTTTTTATCAAACAGCTGAAAAATAATCTGACAATGAAATAAAGGGCAAACTCCACTCACCATAACTACCACATTAAGCTGTAGAGTATCCCTTTAAGATGCATTTTTTATTATTTATTCCCGGCGTAATTTTACGAAAAATTAAGATCTCCCTTGAAGACTATTTAAAATGTCAGTAATTTCCACTTTAATACATAATAAAATTTATTAATGGTCAATATCTGGTACACTCATAAAACATAGTTTTTACTAATTGACTTTATCTTAGTTCATCATTTCCTTGTTGTTTTTACCAAGGGAGAGATAAAGAGAAAGCGATAAAATGATCTTAATGAAAAGCTTATCAAATCACCCAATCTGGTGTTCTAACAGCCAATTTGACGCCCAAAACACATTCGAATTGTGCAATCCATGTGTTTTTTTTCTGCTCTAACCAGACTTGCTCTTTTTACAGTTCAGTAAATATTTTCCTAAGCTCCATTTGCAAACAAAAGAATTAAGCCTGTGAAATAGGTTTGTGACAAGGATCCTTCTGGTGCGTCTAGTGTGAGCCATTGACAAACAAATTAAAATTCAGCCAGTGCCCAAAACGCTCAGCTGCCTCATTTCATTGTGCGATATGGGTTTGTAAAGGTCTGGGTCTGTGTTATACTTTCCTAACCTTGTCTTTGTTAAAGGGTACAAAAGCTTGCACGCTCGGGGCCCTTGCGATACTGATTAGGGTGAGTGACAAAGTGTAGATGCAAGTCCACTCAGCCCTTCATAATAAATCTATCAAACAGTAATAGAATTTCATCAATTGTGCATCATCCCGAGGGTCACTAGGCTGGAATGGGAGGTGTATTCCGTTGGGATTGTAGTTCTGTTATTATTCAATTACACTTCTTTCTTCCTAGTTAAATGCCCTGATATCATTATCACTTAATGAATACATATAATTGGATCTGCACTCTATGTTTAGCTGATGAATACCACTCACTATTCGTTCCCTCTCACAGCTTCCCCCTGACCATCTATTAGCGGATTTTGGCTGAGAACCCTATTGTCACAATGGGAATATGAAATTAGCTGAGGATATTTTTTAGATGTGGTTAGTCTGCAAGACAACATAAAATGACCATTTTTTAAATCAAACTGGACAGCATAGAATTACACGGGCTGACATATGACGAATCTGCTAAGACATTGGGGTTAGACGGAAACTTTGACAAATCACTAACTAATTAATTTGTTAATGAAACTTCTGATGTGGATGTATAAATGGATGGATGGACAGACAGAGAGGCGGACAGAAAGAGAGACAGACAGAGAGAGAGAGAGACAGACATTAATACCTAACAGAAGAGTTCACAATTTAACAATTGTTGCCCATTTTCAGGGACGTTAATATGATTAATTTGACTAAGCCTGTATGGAATGAGTTGGAACATGGAAACCAAACCACACTCCATACTTCAGCCACACTATCACAGTACAATCACACTACAACAATACTGACATACTATCAAAGTACTGCCTCACTACCACAGTACTGCCACTATAGCATAGTACTGTCACACTACACCAATACTGTGACACCATCACAGTACTGCCATACTACCACAGTACTGCCACACTACACCAATATTGCCATACTATCACAGTACTGCCACACTACACCAATATTGCCACATTACCACAGTACTGCCACACTACACCAATACTGTGAAACCATCACAGTACTGCCGCGCTACCACAGTACTGCCACACTACACCAATACTGCCACACTATCACAGTACTGCCACACTACACTAATGCTGTCACACTATCAAAGTACTGCCACACTAGCACAGTCCTGCCACACAGCCACAATACTGCCACACTATCTCAGTACCATCACACTACACCAATACTATGCCAATACTGCCACACAGCCACAGAACTGCCACACAACCACAGTACTGCCACTCTAGCATAGTACTGTCACACAAGCACAATACTGTCACACTATAACAGTACCATTACACTACACCAGTACTGTCAGACTACCACAAATTTGCCACACTATCACAGTACCATCACACTATACCAGTACTGCCACACTATTGCAGTGCTTTCACACTACACCAGTACTGCCACAGTATCAGAGTACTGGTACACTATTGCAGTACTGCCACACTATCGCAGTACTGTTACACTATCACAGTGCCATCACACTACACCAGTACTATCATAATATCACAGTTCTGCCACACTATCCCAGTACCATCACACTATAGCAGTACCGTCACACTATCACACCACTGCCACACTATTACAGTACCATTACACTACACCAGTACTGTCACACTATCACAATATTGTCACACTAAACTAATATCAACAATCTGACATTTAAAGCCACGCTTTTGAATCTGCTGGATACTGACCTCATCCCATGATCCCACGGAAGACACAACCCATCATATAATTTCTCGCTGAACAGCGATATACACACATTTATTCAATTAAAAGACGCAATCAATAAAATAGATATTTATTAGTGCTAATAACATCAGCATTCATGCAATTCCAGGGACAATGTTCTCTGAAAGGAAACTGACCCTCCTATTGGTATTGTTGAAATTAAATGTAGCGTACCTCCTTTGGATCAGTGCTGAACAGGACACCTCATTAATCCTAGTTAGTATCTGCTGCTGGGCATGAAGCTGTAGAATCCAGATGCTTCCAGCTGAGCCTCGCTAAGCAGTTTGGGAATGAGGGAAAGGATCTTCTAGGCTCCCATACATCACTTCAAATTAAATTTACATTAAGTGCTACTCCATCAGAACTGAGAGAAACTGACAACCCTGGAACATGAGCATGATAATCTATTAAATCTTATTATATACATGTCTCCTAATTTTACTTAAACTCATGCATACCAAAGTAAGGGTGAGCGTAAAAAATTAAAGATCTTTTAGTGAAACAAAAGACTTTCTTGAACTGTTGACTTTACAAGATGTGTTCTGTCAAAAATTCAGCCCTTTCCCCTAATATTTAGAGTGAGAATGATTTCGGCTGGCAATCCTTTTTCCCAGAAAACTGCAATAAAGAAGAATATCTATGAATTTTGTTGTTGTTGTATTTTTTTCCCTTTTATAATTATAACATGGAATTTTTTAAAGTTCTACATGTAGCCTGGGCACTGAATCAATGCTGCGTGTCCCATAGTTAGTTTATTGGGGGTATAAGTATAATGTTGACCTCTAATCTATTTTATTATCTCTGAAATTTAATCCATTCACTGAGCAGCAGATTTATCAGTATGTGGAGTAGGGTAGGCAGCTGCCTATAAGTGCCGGTATATTGGAGGCTCCTACTCTGACTGCAACTGAATTTTTTACTTTTTAGATATATTTTTCTATAAATATTATTAATTAGCCACATGGTAATGGGGGAGAGATATAATACCACCCAAGACCCGAGTCTCTTTTATATCCTCTAAGTTAGTCAGCCAGAGACTGGGACTGTCTCCAGATTATTTGGTGCATGATGATTACGTGACGGCAGGCAATCGATATGTAAATCTGTCTCTCCTGACACTATGTTACCAATTGCTTGCTAATGTATAAATTCTTTGAA